CCTAAAAACTAAACCCTAAACCCTCGCTACCCTACACCTTTTTTTTCCCTCCAAGTCTCAAGCCTGAACCGTATGTTTCAAATCTCAGACGCTGGCCACCACAGCTTGCCAATTGCCGTATCCTTCGCAGGCCTTCATTATACAGGCGGTTTAGGGTTTGGAGTTTACGGGTTTAGGGCTTAAGGGGTTCAGGGTTTAGGCTTCAGGGCGCAAGTTCCAAGGTTTGGCCCATACACTCTGCAACGAACCTGCAGCAAACCCCACCCCGATGAAGAGCAATCAAGAGGTCATCTCGACATGCACTATAGTCTAAACTCCTTAAACTATAGCTCACATGAGCTGCTCCATGGAGAACCTACGTAAGTTCTCTGCTTTCATGAAGTCGAATTTCTTCGTAGGCGCATGGCTGCACCTGGCACTTAATAACTCTTTATGGCTTGAGTTATAGCCTACTTGAAAATAAGGCAACCCATATGAATCTAGCTGGAGGGGTTATACGCAATTTTAGGATGTCCCCACGAATGCCGAAACTCAGACATCAACAGCCAGACATACTAAACACAAAGCAGGACATGTTGCTTGTAATCTTGAAATCAGCGTTTGAATTGTTGAGTGCTGCATGTGCAACAAATTTGTACACCATGCTGGCTTATGCCTCGCAAGCTTAAATACTCTGCTTCTAAAGCCATGTTGGTTTGTCTTGTAATTACTCACGTCGCCAATTTTGATCAAAGACCATGCCAAGCGCTGTCGATATGCTGAACAAGAAGAACTAATCGAATGCTCAAGTGTCTTGCTAAAAATTTGATTTGAAAACCTGCCTGGAGCCAGAGACTCAAAATCCAAGTCCGCGCTTTGTACTGCTGTTGCCTGCTATTTTATTGCATGTCGAACAAGGTGCCTTGCAAAGAACGCACCTTGCACTATCTTGCAAACCCCGCATTACTTGTGCGATTGCAATAGCTTCGGTACCCGAAGCTGGGTTGTTGCTAAGGAACTTAAATTAAGTTATCGTGATAATATGAATACGTAGAAATTAGGTACTTGTGACTTAGCTCAAGTTTCTGAAGCACAACCCTTCAAGCCCCAATCTACTATCATTACCATGCTCTGAGGACTCATGGATAGGTTCATGGAGGAGGTAGCCATTGGCTGAAGGAGAATTTGCCCAGACTTTGGGGCTGCAGAATTTTGGGCTCTCACGGTTTGGGATTAGAGGCTTTGGTACCTATGAACCGTCAAGCACGTACAATAACTTGCATACGCTTCCTTGATGGTCCCTGAGATACCCTGCAACGTCAAAGTTACGCAGCCTTTGACCCTACCATGGCTGACTCAGATTTGACACGCTACATTGCTAAATCCCTCAAATTTGCACACACTCTTGACTTAGTAAGACTTAGTGTTAGGGGTTATGAAGTTATGGGGCTAAAAGGGTAATGGGGGGATCGTAAGACCCCTTACTGAGCCAACAGATGCTGTAAGTGAGCCTCTATCAGGCCGACCACCCCACACCCTAAACCCTAAACCCTAAACCCATGAGGGTTGAGGGTTTATTAGGGTTTAGGGTTTTGGGAAAACCCTTTCTTCATGGCCCTTTGCTTTGTCAGACCTTGTATGAGCTCCAAGGACTTCATTTGGCTATACGAAAAGTATGAGGCTCCCAAAGTGAGAGGTGCGTTTGACAACTGACCAGATCCAATCCACTGCATCAATCTTGCGGCAGACCTACCACTGGTCAACAGGAAATGAAAGAATGGACAAGGAAATAGGAAGTACTCTGCTGTTAGGAATTCCGGGAACCAAAAGGATCCGTTCAGGCTTCATTCAGGCTTAATTAAGGGTGTAGGGATTTAGGGTTTGCACACTTGGCTTTGGGTCAATTGCAGCAAATGGAGTCTGAAGATTTCCCATGTCTATGCTGGATTGCTTTGTCTACATGAGCTATAGTCTAAACTCCTAGTATCCCCCATGATAACCCATATTGTGCTCCCCTACATAATCCCCTATATCACCCACTTGAAGGAGTTTCGACCCTAAACCCTAAACCCTGCGTGTACAGCTCACTTGGTGTTTCGTAGTTGGTGTATCACTCGTGTATCACCTGCTTCACAGCTCAACTAAGGTAGGTTTAGGGGCCCTATAGAAAATATGGCTTTATAAGGACCATACAGGGATGCAGGGCAACAAAAATTAGAATTTATCTTCAAACCTACTTCTGTCAACCCAAACCCAGAACGCCTCAAACTTCAACAACTGCCTGGAACGGTCGCCCAAGACCCAACGCAACATCTGTTGGCGAGCTTCCATCTGACTTGCTGGCAGATCCTAATGTAGACCCGTAATCAATACACCCCCTTCCTTTAAGGGCCTTAATATTTGGATCCCGATTATAACCCCCATGAAAACGAGGAGGGTTATTAATTCGGGGTCTACATTACAACAGGTCCATAAATAATCTCAGTTCTTGAGCTCTAGAAAGCCATCAAGGCTTAAACCCTGCAACCATAAATCCCGCAAATGATAAAAACCATCCGACTCCAGAACCTCTAATGTAGCCCAATAGCAAACCCACAGACCCCTGACAAAAACCTAAGATCTCAATTAGGGTTGAGGGTTTAGGATTGAGGGTTTAGAGTTTAGCGCTTGTGCAACCCCAGAATGCCCCACCTTCATGCAAACTGGCATGAAACCCCAAGAGCTCTAGAAACCTCTGGGGTGATAAGAAAAAAAAAGAGGCCTATAACTTAGGTTGGGCCCCCACTAATAGTGACCACAAGTGGTAACGGTAATTGTATTAGGGTCCTTATATATTCCTAGTATACCACTATTAGTGGGTGGGGGCCCAACCCAAGCTATAACTGCGGTTTTGTACCTATACCCAACTTGGAACCCACGCCCTCACTACAATATTGAAATCCCCGCCCTGCCAATATCAGATATTCCCATTGTGGGATACTGTGTTGGGAATGTCTAATTAATAGTCTCAACTCCTAGTATCCCTCTTAGTAGGCCCGATAATCGCCTATCAATCTCCCTGTGACGTTTAGACTCCAGCTCATATCAGGCACAAACCCTAAATCCTACCCGATCCTACCCGCTAAATAGGCAAAGGGGGAGACCCTGAACCTCCCGGTGCGCTTCTTTTCGTCCACTGCCGCAGCCAACATCTGTCCATGCGAGGGACAATCAGCCACAGTAAATGACGGTCTAGGTTTAGGGTTTAGGGGGTTTGGGGTTTAGGGATTAGGGAATGAGGGGGCCAAACGGTTGTGGAGGATTTTACTAGGATTCTATGTGTAGAAAATCTGCATGCAATAGCAGGAGTATCTACTGTTATTCGGGGGAAAACTTAAGAATGGAAGCAAGAAATCAATAGCCAAGTTTATAAGTAGGATAAAACCACGGGTTTTAAAGATCACTATGATGATTCCTAATACTGAATAAGGGCCATGCCCGACTCAATGTAATCAGCCTAGCCAGCACCCACCACAAGGCTTCTCCGCACAAGCATGGAGGTACTGGAAGCAGGAAATAGCATCAGGGTCCCTCCCGTTCGACAGCAAGACCTTTAGCGGAAGCAAGATCGCACCCTTTTCCTGTAGCTCTCTCACAGACAGATTGGGGATGAGGAATTCGGAGCTGCCTTTCTCACCCTTCTCATTTTGGGTGTAACCATCGCCCGTGAAGAGGTGACTGGCCCCAAACCAGGTCCACAACAGGATGCGAAAGTCCACGAAGGTGTGCTCAGTGTTATTCAGAAAGCGACGTGGCGTCAGGAAAATCTCTGGATCTTGGATAATGTCGCAGGAGTCAACACGTTTGACTGACTGGTATTTGCGCAAGAACTCTTCACGCTTCAAGAAATCACTGGACATGTCTGTCCGTTTACACTCCTCTTCATATCTTTTGACATACTCTTTGAGGCCGGGAATGGTGGCAGCACATTGAAGCAGTCCATCCCAAGTAGCGCGAACACCAACGGGCATTGCTGCCTCCCGTGTCTCCCCAGTTCTCCTCCTATCACTTTCCCCTGCGGCCGGCAGCACGATCATTGAGAAACGACGATTGTCCTTCTCCAAGGCATGGTCAACCCAAGAGGATTCGCAACCCAAGTGCACCAAGAATTCGTGAACCCTGCTTCTTCCATACTCCGAAAGCAGCTTATGACAGCCATCTGGACCTGTGGCAAAAACGAACGGTTTTCTGTCCGGTTGCGCAGGATCATCCACGTCGACGAAGAAAGAAAGGAATGTAGGTCCGCTGCTATCGTGGCGAAAGATTCTGCCACAAACCTCGAGCTCTTTCTGCGGGCAGCCGTTTTGCCGGAAGAATTGCGAGAAAAGTTGCGGGGAGTCCGCCATCATTCCTGGAGCTTTCCAATCTCAAGGCAGTCCTGCTGACTTTAGGGTTTAAGGTTTGGGGTTTAGGGCTTAGGGTGTAGGGTAACAAAACTTGCCAACATTGCTACAACATTTTATGCAAGAAATTCACTGCGGCGATGGCAAAAGCTTCGCGTTTTAGCTCACATGAAGCTTCTGTTGTGGGTCCCTTATGGCTACGTAAAACTAGGACTATAATAGTAAATTGTGAGCATGTAACGGCGGACCCCCATTTAAACACAGACGGTGCAACTACACGCCTTGGATTGGGACGTAGCACTGAATTGAATCCCTAACCCCAAACCCCAAACCTTATACCCCAACCCTAATCCCTGAATCCTAAACCCTAAACCCTAAACCCCACAACTTAGACTCTAACCCCTAAATCCTAAATCGTCCATGAATCCGTGCCAAAGGCCTCCCAGATCTGGGGCTGCAGCCAGGAGTCAGAGAGAGCGCGCATCAACGGGTCAGGAAATTAGGGGTCCCTTTCAGGGAGATTAGGGCTTGGGGTTTAGGGTGTAGGTTTATAAACGCACTATAGGGATATCTTGGGGTACATAGGCTGTGGGGAACAGGGTTTGAGGTTTCCGAAAAGTGTAGCTTGTTGGGGGTTTGTAGGATATGGACTAGAATGTATTGGAGTCCGTTTTGGGACCCACTAATTTACGGAAACCCAAAGATCTTGCAGCATCATACAGCAAGACCATTCCGTGTTGCAAACACTGCAAGCGTCCTTTTGCGGGCACGCAGAAAGCTGTGCAACCAGACCTGTCAAACTGGAGGCTTCGTTTGGCCAACATGACCTATTCCACCTTCCCCAGCTGTAGCCCCTAAACCCTAAACCCTAAACCCTAAACCCTCCTACCAAATCGCGTTGCAAACCACCAATAGGTCCAACAATAATCCTGCAGGCTGAGAGCCCCCGAACCTAATTCTTTCTGCGCAGCAGAAGACACAGCTTCTTGCTGATGTTGGGGTTATATTGGGATAATGTAAAATGTAATGGAAACTATTGTAATAATGGGTTATATAGGGATTATTAGCTCCTTGCTTGGGTTTAAGTGGCCCGCAGCAGATTCGACATCATTTGTCGGTCGACGTGCGGAAGCGTCCAGCGAAGGTCAAGGCCATGAGCTACATACAGTGACAAGTGAGTGGCCCCATCACACCACTTACAACCCCTATATAACCCATTATTGTAGTTTCCATTTTCTTTTCCATACATCCCAATATAACCCCAATATACACCCTAATATATTCAAGTAGTTTCCATTTTCTTTTCCATACATCCCTATATAACCCCAATATATACCCTATTATATTCAAGTAGTTTCCATTTTCTTTTCCATTATCCTTGAAGCCCTAAACCCTAAACCCTAAACCCTAAAGGGATTGTGAAGTGTCAAAAGGTCTCTATGGGAGCCCAGGCCTGGTTGCTGATATTGGGGGTAATATTGGGATAATGGAAAAGAAAATGGAAACCCTAGGTCCGTTTATGGGGTTCTATATGGGTATATTATAGGGGTTTATATAGGGATGTATGGAAAAAAAATGACATCCTACATCCTGAGTTAGGGAAGTTTCAGGGTTTAGGGCTTAGGGTTTAGGGCGCATGTATGA